AATTTCCTTTGGTATTCTCAAAAATGAATTTAGGAGACATCAACAATTTAAATTATTTGTTTCATTTTTTTCAATTTCAGTTTAATTTGCCCAAAGAAATTTCATATGTTCCCATACAAATGGATGCAAATCTATCAAGTTAGCAAAATCTTTCCTTAAAGTAAAACCTACGTAAATAATGCCCCTCTTCTTGCCAAAAACAAATTTTACCTCTGATCCAGGGCTCTGTTTTTGCCCTCTTTGTTTTGCATGGCAGCCAAATTTCCTCAGCCTTCTGGATTTTTCCTCTTGAGAAAGGATTTATTAGACTTGTTTGACAGATACCTTCTTAGCATAAAGGCTATTTGCTGTTCACTGTTTTACCACTAGCAAAAGGTTCACAGTAATTACTGAAGATATAATTATTAATGAATAACATACTCAGATTTTCTCTCATGAAGGAAGACATTCAAGAATGACCAATGGGCTGGGCTTCACCTGGGCATTGTGTCCAGGAATGTAACAGGCATTTTTCACTCTTTTAATCTTTTCTTACAGGAGTCACTGTAGACTCTTCAGGTAATTGTCTTTACTACCTGAAATCTCTGGGTGATATCCTAATTTTTTAATTGGACATGGGTGTGTCAGTTGTAAGACCCACAATATTTTTATCCTTTCCCCAGCCGCACCTCACCTCTTAAGTTAGCTAACACATCTTTAGATTACCTTCTAGCTCAATGTGCACACACACGTCTTGAACTGACAGTAAAAGAAGGAAAGTGACTCTCAATAAGTCACTCTTTAACAGACTGGCATTAGTCAGCTGATCACACATTTAAACTTGTTGTTGTTGTTGTTGTTGTGTTATGTGCTGTCCAGTCAGTTCTAACTCATAGCAACCCTATGTACAACAGAACGAAACACTGCCCAGTCCTGCGCCATTCTCACAACCATTGATATGCTTGAGTCCATTGTTGCAGCCACTGTGTCAATCCATTTCGTTGAGGGACTTCTTTTTCGCTGACCCCCTATTTTACCAAGCATTATATCTTTTCCCAGTGTGATGGTTAAGATTGTGTGTCAACTTGGTTGGGCCATGAGTCTACGTGTTTTAATGTAATCACTCCCATGATTGAATATACTGTGAGTAGCCAATCAGATGAAAGGGATCTCCTTGGGGGTGTGGCCCGCATCTGTATATAAGCAGACGTTCTGGCTTTTTGCTCTCTCTGGATCCTGCAGCTGCTTCCTGTCGTCCCATCTCCCATTCTTGGGACTTGAGCTGTCAGCTTATCTGCCAAACCTGGGATTTGTCGATCTGCACAGCCTGTGAGTGGGAGCCCTGCTCTCCGACTTTCCGATCTTGGGCTTGCCAGCTTCTGCAGCTGTGTGATTTGGGAGAGGCCTCTACCCTGATCCATGGACTTGGGACGTTCTAGCCTCTACAATCACGTGAGCTGTTTCCTTGATATAATCTCTCTCTATATATATATTTATATACTTTACTGGTTTTGTTTCTCTAGAGAACCCAGCCTAAGACACCCAGGGACTGATCCCACCTGATAACGTGTCCAGAGTACATGAGGCGAAGTCTCACCATCAGTGCTTCTGAGGAGCATTTGGCTGTACTTCTTCCAAGACAGACTTGTTTGTTCTTTTGGCAGTCTGTGGTATATTCAGTGTTCTTCACCAACGCCACAATTCAAAGGCGTCAATTCTTCTTCGGTCTTCCTAATTCATTGTCCAGCTTTCACATGCATATGAGGTGATTGAAAAACCCATGGCTTGGGTCAGGTGCACCTTAGTCTTCAAGTTGACATCTTTCCTTTTCAACACTTTAAAGAGGTCTTTTGCAGCAGATTTGCGCAATGAGTGCGTCTTTTGATTTCTTGACTGCTGGCTTCCATAGGTGTTGATTGCAGATCCAAGTAAAATGAAATTCTTGACAGCTTCATTCTTTTCTCCGTTTATCATGTTGTTGCTAATTGGTCCTGTTGTGAGGATTTTTGTGTTCTTTATGTTGGGGTGTAATCCATATTGAAGGTTGTGGTCTTTGATCTTCATAAGTAAGTGCTTCAAGTCCTCTTAACTTTCAGCAAGCAAGGCTGAGTCATCTGCATAACACAGGTTGTTAATGAGTCTTCCTCCAATGCTGATGCCACGTTCTTCTTCAGAAAGTCCAGCATCTTGGATTATTTGCTCAGCATACAAATTGGATAAGTATGGTGAAATGATACAACCCTGACACACACTTTTCCTTACTTTAAACCACGAAGTATCCCCTTGTTCTGTTAAAAAGACTGCCTCTTGATTTATGTACAAGTCCTCATGAGCATAATTAAGTGTTCTGGAATTCTCATTCTTCACAATGTTACCCATAATTCATTATGATCCACACAGTCGAATGCCTTTGCATAGTCAATAAAACACAGGTAAACATCTTTCTGGTGTTCTTTGCTTTCAGCCAGGATCCATCTGACATTAGCAGTGATATCCCTCATTCCATGTCCTCTTCTGAATCTGGTTTGAATTTCTGACGGTTCTCTGTCGATGTACTGATGCAACCACTTTTGAATGATCTTCTGCAAAATTTTACTTGCATGTGATATTAATGATATTAACTCTTTTCAGAAGTAGACCGCCAAATCCTTCTTCCTAGTCTGTCTTAACCTGCAAGCTCAGCTGAAACTTGTCTGCCATAGGTGGCTCTTCTGGCGTTTGAATACCAGTGGCATAGCTTCCAGCATCACAGCAACAGGCAAGCCCCCACAGTATATCAAACTGACAGATTTGTAGCACACCTTTCTTGGAGGGTGATTGCTTTTGTCCCCAAAGAATCAACTGCACAAGCCCCCAGCATGTTTTTGTGAATAATATAGGTTGTCAAGTGTGACTTCTTCTTTTGATCAGGAACTCAGGTATTAAATATTTCCATAGCCTCCAGATGACATGAGAAAAAAGAAATGCTGAATATGCGTGGGCAGGGAGAAAGTGTAGGAGTAAGAAAATTACCCATTCTTTTTCATTCTTTTTTTTTTTTTCCATTTTAACATTAAATAGAAAAAGGACTTTTATTTTGCCAAGTGTTGATTTCTGTGTTGAGTTCAATTTATTAAACTATTGAACACTTATTATGCTCAAAGTTTCTGAGCCCCTTGGTTCATCATTCTCTGTCTCACAGCCAACATGTAGGGCAGTGAGGCCCAGCATACAATGCTGAATAAAATAAGCCTTCCTTTCTTCACTGGCTTGAGATTCTTTAAAATTTTATACCTTCTCTTTCATTTAGTATTTTTCTACACAAGGTTTGTCTTGCTGCATCTGAATTACTTTCTATTTCATCTTCAGGTTAGTACCAAAATAGAGAAGTAAAAGTGGAAATGAAAAGGACTGTACCATTATTTTTTATAGTTTTCAGTACTTCATTTTTCCTTTTTCTGTTTAACTTTCTTAGAAAGCTGTCACTGCATTTGGAGGCCTTGAGGCAAAATGAAAGCAAATGAAAATCTGAATATGATGAAAGTAAAAGAAGGAAAGTGACTCCCCAGGTGAAAAAAGAAATGACACTGGGAGAGTTTCTCCTCTCTTACTCACTCTTACACCTACTCCAATATGGTTTCTGCATATTAATTCTACCAAACCACTTTTACTGAGGTCTCTGATGCCCTCTGTTTTTCCCATTATAGACACTGTCAATCCACTGAGCAGATTACTGATATTCAAGGTAGTTTTAATTAAAACAGTGAGACATTTTCATTGTAAGCTATTAAATATATCTGATTTATAATAAACAAAATTTAAATGACTTGCCAATAAGTGAATTCTATGAATCTAGCCAGAGAAAAATCTATTTCAAAAAAGGAAAAACTATGCAGAGTAAATATAATCCATATTTGTTTCCATGTTCTACCCTAATTCTACCATCCACTTCTGAAGACAAACCACTCAGAATTTTTTTTGTGTACCTACTGTCACTAACTTCTCTTCCTCACCTTTCCACTTACTCCATCATGGTTTCTTATTAGTACTTCTTCCAGTCCAGCTCTCACTAAGATCCTCAATGCCATCTGTATTTAGGGTATAGAAAACAGTTTCAATCCACATCTTCCATGAATGCATCGATTCTTCTTCTATGCAGTATTATTTCCTTAAATATGCTTTTATCACCATTCTCTCTTGTTGTCCTGCCAATGTATAGTCATTCCATCTCTGTTTCCTTTGTGACTTTTCTCTCGCCTTTAAAGGCTGTAGGTCCTCAGAATTAAGTTTAAGCCTTTCTCTCATTCTAGACTCTCTTATCATGTGGCCAGTTCCATTAGGTCTTTCTGTGAATAGATATGAACCTCCAGCTATGGCATTGTTTGTAAATTGTAGACTCATCCAACTGCCAATGGACAATGACTAGATACCTACTAGCCCAAGGGCGGAGGATATAGACTACCTTTATTTTCCTTGTTGGCATGTGTCACTTCAGCTTCTGCTAAGAAAATTCCTTTTTTTTTCTTCATCTCCTCATAGTATTTAACTGAACTGATACTAGTTAAGTAAGATTATTGTGTTTATGTTTTCTTCTCTGCAGAAACCAAAGATACAAGAGAGCAGGAACTATGTTTGTTGTATTCACCTCTAAATCCTGAGGGCAACATACAATATGAACAGAGAAAGTCCATTTTTACTTATAATTTGTATATAATAATGATGGCTAAGTGAATTATACCATCCATTCTTTAAATGAACTACACAATGAGGCTTGGTGTTTCCTTTTTAAAGAATAAACAAATACAAGAATTTTTCTATAATAAAAATTTAATGAACAAAGAAAAATAATAAATTAACAAAATATAAAGGAGAACATAATTTTTATGCACACTGTAAAGGTATACATGATATTATGCAAACAAAAAATAAGTGAAATATATAAATAGCTAAATAAATAGATAAATAGATACAACAGTATGGTCACCTGTAAAGAACTAGTGCCCATATGGTTGAACATGATGTTGCTTAATACTCCTGAAAACACATTTGACAAGTTTGATTCAATTGCTGTCCTGATTATAGCAGAAATCAGAGTCTTTGAAATGACTGAACTTGTGGAAGTATGATAGAATGTATTAGTCAATGAGAATCATTTTTTTTATGGGACTAGGTCTCCTTTCTTACTTCTTAGCCTTTCTTGCCAGTTTGTTGAGGTAGAGAAGGATCTCATGATTTCTGCTCTGACAATCTCCCAGGCACAAGGGCTGTATTTCTTCTCTGTCAAATACAGAGTGATTCTTTGGAAGTATTTCCTCACAGCCAACATGGAGTCTTCATTTATCAGGGAGAGCGGAGTTTCTTCTTCCCCCATCTCCTGAATCAAACAGACTTCCAGGTCATTCCACTGCTGATAAAGTCCAGCATACAATTTGTCCAGGAGAGTCTTATCCCAAGCAGCAGATGAGGTCTGTGTGCTGAAGAGGTTGAAGATCTGCTGGATCATCTCATGGTGGACAGAGATGGCTTGAGCCTTCTGGAACTTGTTGCCATCAAGCTCCTCCTGGGGAAAGCCAAAGTCATTTCTGTCCTTCAGGCAGGAGAAAGAGGAGATTCTCCTCATTTGTCCCAGAAGCATCAAGGTTCTCCTGTTAGCCAGACGATGGCTCTGAGGCAGGTCACAGCCCAGAGAGCAGATGGAGTTGCAGCTGAGCACCACCAGGGCCATCAGTAAAGGGAAAGAGAAGGCCATTGGGGATCTTGCAGATGCTGCTGTCCTGGTTGATGCTGGTGACTCTGTAAGCCTTGGCCTCCAGGTTCTCTGCAGACCTTCCTCTGGTCATGTGTTTTATATAGGGAACACACTAGTTTCCATTTTCTTTATGAACCCCCCTTACTTTCTGCTTGTGTTTTTGCTTTCCTTTATGCAGTCTCTACATGGGTTTTTAGTGCAGTGTTTCTCAACCACTTTTTCTCATTATTGAGACCCCCTGGTAACCTGTTGAGTGTTTTTTTTCCTAAGTGAATCCTCCCTTGAAATTTTAATAGCACCGATATACTGTAATGTTGTTTATACATTATATGTATATCTGAGTCTCATACATAAAATAAAAGAGTGTGAACTTTACTCTGCTTATTGAATTCAGGATTAATAATGACTAAATCAAAATTTTGAGCTAAAAGTTAAATTAAAATGGTTTTAACATTTCATTTAACATTGTTACTAAATTTCCTGAGTAACTTTTAATGTAATTCATTTAGCTATATAAATTTCAGTATATTAAATCACATAGGCAATTTAGAAACTTATGTAAATACATAATAGCAAATGTAATGAAATGTTTAAATATTATAAAGCAAGAATAAACAACTGAAAATTAAATTATTTTCTTAACAGATTTTTTAGTGTATTTTATTTTTGATTGGTATGAGAAAGTAACTTAATTTAATTGCTTGCTAGATATTCATCCAGATATTGCTGACATTTTTTCTCTTCAGCATTTTACATTATTATTTATGGGTTAAATAACTTTAACAGAATTAAATATTAAAATATTAACTACTAGTATTTAATTTTCCAATCTGAAGTTACACTCAAAAGCACTGAGGTTCAATGTTTATTATGGAACATTCACAAGGCAGCCAATGGCCATCTATGGTATGCTGAGGTGAGCTCTCATAATATGACTTCTATATCAACCAAATGATGAGGAGAAAGTCTTCCATTAATCTTGCAAACATTTTGTGTATCCTCCATCAACTCAATATCCATACTTCACTTGTGATACCAAGAAACATGAGACAAAATAAAGATTAAGGAATAATATTTTGTTGGATACAGCTGAGCTTTGGAGGGCCCCAAACCATTGTAATACCTAAGAGTTATTTGCACTCCCAAGAAGCAGTTTTATACTTTAGGAGTTCCTCAAAGAGAACCCACAATCTAGAAAGCATCATCACTTTGAATTTTCCTTTGTTTTTTTTCCCTTACAGTTGAAATTTCCCAGGTAATTTTCAGAGGTTCCTATCCAAGTCAATTCTTATCAATTAAAAGAGTCATCATTGTGCTGAATTCAGAACTGGATAAATATGGAATTTTACTCTGTGAAGAATCAACTTTCTGCTTCAATCATGGACTCAGGTTTTATTCCTTTTATTTGGCATGAGAAGTTAGGCTGCCTCAGTTCTATAGATTCCTACTCTTTAAACGGTAGGTACAAAACCGTTTTTGGTAGCCTGATGTTTTAAATCCCAAAAAAGATACATCTGAATTTCACATGTTGAAAATTATACTTAGTGAAAAACATCCTAAACAAAACAGTAAATATTCTGTGATTCCATATATATGAATCAAAATCCATTATGAGTGCATTATACACTCAAACAAAAGGAATATGAATGTGGGCTGTGCTCAAATGGATGGTCAGTGTTTGAGTAGGAACTAAAGAAAAGGGATTGGGGCAAAAGAAAATATTTACAGAGGTCAGTATTACATAATCTAACATGAATGGACATGGAAATGGAGCCAGCAGTGACTTTGACCTTCCATTTTTAGGTAGATCTTGACCAAACACTAAAGTCATAATTACCTACCCTCATTCTGCAATTCTTAGGATGCCTCACAAACAATAACTAATGATACTTTGCTTCCTGTTATCTCCATTCATTTCCATCAAGGTATGGAATACGGGTTTCATTTCAGTTAGACTTCCAAAATTATGACATTTCATAATTAGAGCACTACCTCTGGTGGAAAACCAGGAGGTTCAATTCTGAGTCCTTGGTCAACTGTTTCTGCCTACTCACCGGCTCTTTTTCTTTATCTGCTATCCATACTGGTTGCCTTCAAGTCTATTCCAACTCATAGTGACCCTATAGGACAGAGTAGAACTGCCCCCATAGAATTTCTAAGGCTGTAATCTTCATGCAAGCAGACTGCCACATCTTTCTCCCATGAAACAGGCTTTTGGGCTAGCAGTCGAGCGCTTAACCACTACACAACCAGGGCTTCTTTTTTTATACACTAAGTCCTTGTACACTAAGCCTGCCTACATTCTCACTTCTACATGCCAGGAACATAGCCTTTGATAACTAGACCTATTTTCCCTTTAGAATACTCCTCATGAGTCTACCTTGCTTCTTAGAGTCCCTGGATGGTGCAAACTTTTAAGGCACTCTGCTACTAACCAAAAGGTTGACACTTCAAGTTCTCCTAGAGGCAACTCAGAAGATAGGCCCAGTTGATCTACTTATGAAAAATCAGCCTTTGAAAACCCTATACAGCACAGTTCTAGTCTGACACATGAGTTTGCCCTGAGTTGGAATCAACTTGATGGCAACTGTTGTTGTTTTGTTTTGTTTTGTTTTAATCTTTTCTCCTACTATTCGTTCCTATCTATACTATAGATACTAGGCATCTAGTGAAGTCCCTGCTAATTCAGGAGCTTGATTAGTATTCATGAAAAGAATAATCATGATAATAATAATGAAAGATTAATAGCCACACATACTAGATATATGTGATTTAAGAGGATAATAGATCTAAAGACACTTTGAAAATTGCTCATGGCTCTAAAAGGGAAGCTATTATTGGAGATTGTGTAGAATATTTAAAAAAATGAACAAGCATTTGATTACAGGGATATTTTCTTCAAGTTTGTATTTGCAACATTTAGAATATCAGAATAAGAAGCAAGCACCTAGTTATGTATGGAAAACTCACTCTCCACTTTTATGTCAGCCTTCTCCATGATCCTCAAGTACCTTCAAGGAGCTACCTGATCATATTTTCCTCATCTCCCTCAGATAATAAGGAAACATACTATGTGTTCCAAGTCCTTCCCCCATATCCTTGGCCTTTGTCCAGCTTAGCCTATGTCATTTGGAATCACTTGAATGATTCTTTCAAAGGGTGAATGATGCCATGTACCCTAAGGAGTGACATCCATGTCACCTTCCCTGGCTTTAAATTTTGGAATCACACTTTGGGTCAGAATTTTGTTTGTTTGTTTTGTGTAATCAAGAACATGGCTATAATTTTTCACTTTAAAAACAGTATTAGTACACAAAGTGCAAAAATGACCAGTGGTCTTATTCAGTAAACTTGTCTCCTCTTCCCACTAGTCACTCAATTAGACCCTCATTCCCAACTTCCTTGCACTTAGGTATCTCATGAAAACAAATTCATGTCAACTAAGTGTGAACACAAGTGATGTTGGCCCTGTAAAGACTTGGCCCTTGAAAACATCCCCATATCATCCAACATGCTTTTTTCTTTACAGTTGAGTAGAAGAGGCACAAGAACCACAGACACATCTGGAGTTACCTGCTGAAGATGGCAAAGCTACAAAATATATGGTACCCAGATCCTTGAATCATTGTCTGGAAAAAAGCCAACCAGAAGAGCCATCTGGTCAGGAATGCCTGCACTGAGTTCTTATGTGAGGGAAAGATAAATTTCAATTATGTACAAAATACTGGTAGTTTTCTGTTTATCTGTTACAGTATGTAGCATTTTAACTTAACCGACAGATATCTTTAACATAATACTATCCTGAAGTTTTCTGTAAAAAAATTTTTTCAAACTTTCAAAACAGCAAATATCCCCGAAAATTTAGAGATAAATGAAAATTATAAATCATAAAATTATTTAAGAAGAACAGATGATATTCTCTCTAAATATTTGTTTGTACACTCATGATGTAAAATATATTTTTAAATAGTCTCATGAATTTGATTTCAGAATTTTTTCAGCTAACGCAGAAATATGAGTTGAGAATGCCTTTTTTGGACTTAGTAAACAGTAATGTAATTGATAGGAGAGTTACAATTTTCTTCTCTATTGGCTGGCTTTTCTATGGTATGCTGAGGTGAGCTCTCATAATATGACTTCTATATCAACCAGATGATGAGGAGAAAGTCTTCCATTAATCTTGCAAACATTTTGTGTATCCTCCATCAACTCAATATCCATACTTCACATGCGATACCAAGAAACATGAGAGAAAATAAAGATGAAGGAATAATATTTTGTTGGATACAGCTGAGCTTTGGACTTAGTACAGTTTTCCCTCAGACAACCTCCCAGGCACAGCTGCTGTGTTTTTTCCTTCAGATAGCAAATGATTCCTTGGAAGTACTTCCAGACAATGATTTCCAAAGAGGAACAAGACAGATTTTGTTCTCCCATCTGCTCCGATTGTTCCAGACTGTGATCAAGGCTAGAGAGCAATTGATCCAGAAGGATCTGATCCCATGCAGCACAGCTATCCTCTCTGTTGAAGAGGTTGAAGGTCTGCTGGAGCATCAGATGGCACAAACGGCTCTCCTGTCTTCTGGATCTGGAGATTTTGTTGTTTTCCGGGCGATGGCTCCAAGGCAAATCCCAGCTAAGAGAGCAGGCCGCGATGGAGCTGAGCATCCCTCCTGCTATTAGCAAATAGATCTGGACCAAGCAGTAAATTGCAGTGATTCACTAGCTGGCCCTAGGAGGCGAGCGAACACCGATAAACAGTAAGCGCAAAGTTTCCTTCGCTGAGCACTAACGGCCGATAGAGGGCGCCGTAAGTCTCCTTTTCTCAAACAGGGCGTGGAAAAACCATCGTTTTGAGAAACGCAAATTTGGCCGTGCCTGCTTTCGTTTGCGTTTTGCGAAAAGTTGTCGTAAGATCGTCTATGGATCAACTTTGCCGCAGCTTAAATACTTCACTCATAGATAGAAAAGTTTTTCTTTTCTCAGCCTTGGTTGCTGAG